ATTCCATCTTAATTTTCTACAATGAGAAAATATTTTTCGATTTTATCGTCTAATATTATTTATTGAAACATTTTCGAATAGAAACAATAGGATATTCTAGATTGTTTTTTCTCTGTAATCGATTTAGACGGTGCTAGAACAATTCGTTGCATGGACAATTCGTTACGGGACAATTCGTCGCAATGATATAATCCAATTATAACTTATCATTATTTTTTCATAAATGAATTGACCTATTAAGATAAGTTAGAAACACATAATTCAATGAGTATGACAATTGTAGAGACTATTTTTAATAACTAAACTTTGAATTTTTTTTTCGGTTTGTATTGTCATAAGAAATTCTGGTTTGATAAAAAAAATCGGATCTATTTTCTGCATCACGACTAATACTGACGAGATGAAAAAACCTCAAACGTGAGAAATTATCAAAACTAGTGTTAACACTGTATAAATCATCGTTGAATTCAAACTAGTTTAATTTTAAACATGTCAAATGAGAACTGATAGTTTTTAAACTAACATAATTTGTACGTTAAATAAGGATATTTAATAAAAAGATTGGATCAAAAGCTTTTTTGGTTATGCTAAAGTCAATCTTTTTTAGTGAACACTAAGTTTCACTTATCTTCTCAAATTATTGTTCCATGTGTCGTAAATCTTGAGCTACAATAGGAATTGAAAGAAAGATGCAGTACCACTGTTGCTTCTATAAGAGAACTTTTACCACTGACATAATTCAAATAACCTAACTTTTTATATGTACCAGACGATTATTGTACTGCTCGGAATCAAAAATCAAAGTTTAGTAATCAAAAATAGTCTCTACAATTATCATACTCATTGAATTATGTGTTTCTAACTTATCTTAATGGGTCAATTCATTTATCAAAAAAAAAATGATAAGTTATAATTGGGTTATATCATTGCGACGAATTATCCCGCAACGAATTGTCTGACAACGGATTGTCCGTGCGACGAATTGTCCGCGACGAAGTGTCCGGTCGCCCCAATGATATTCTTGAGGGTGTGGGTGTGCTGCACCTCTTCCCAAACATCAATACCCACACCCACACCCACACCCACAAACCTATACCCACCCACATCCACATTCATCAACTCTTCACACCCCATCCCACACCCACACCCAACTCGATTAACATCTAATGCAAAAGTAATTGCCGATATCTCAACCCATGATTTTCCACTCAGAAACATCGTTGAGAGTTCAATGTTTTTTTTTCTCCATTAACTTTGAATGAGAAAAAAGTTTGACATCAAATATCACAAAAAAGAGACTTTTACAACTTCTCTGACCTCTTTTCAAACGTATATCTCACATCAAGCCTATTTATTTAGCTATAACCAGGTTACGATTGAAATTATATATAATTATAGAACGTAGAAGTATTTTTATCATTCTTTCAAATCAGATATGATAAATTATGTTTTGATACATTTTATAATCGCAATGCTTTACAAGTTTTTGATTGATTTCAAAAAAAAAAACATCATTTCACTTAATGAATAGTTTCTAGATACTGAACGAATTTTATTCCTTTTCTAAAAAAACACATTCTCTGAAACAGCATGTAATTCTTTATAAATTTAAATTAATTTTAATATCGACTAACAACATGTTTAAGTCCTAAATAAAGAACTATTCTTAATGTTCTATCTATCATATGTAAAGCACCGCTTTCTATCAAAATAAAGACGTTTTATTTTATGTTAAAGAACTCCGAAGAAACCTGGGAAAGTATGAATGATTTTCTTATCTGTTTAGTTTTTTAAGAAAATTTTTGTTATATATATTTTTTCAAATGCAGACTGTGATCTTTCAATAACAAAAAACAATTAACTTTCTACGATGTTCCTAAATGGATAAACATGGATCGAGATTTCGGCCATTACTTTGCATCGTAGGTTATTTTGACGTATTCAACCATTAGATGCTGATCGTATGAGTTTATTTTATTTTTCAATCTATAAATCAATTTGTTTATTTATTGATCATCTTCTTCAAATTGATGGACATTTATTTATATTATTTGAAATTTTTCGATAATTCTTAGATAAATCAAATCTTGACAAGTAAAATTTAATTTTAGATTAGTTGAATTAATATTTCAACATTATCGATCAATTCTTAAATTAATAACAAAAATTTGGTCGACAGAAATATTAGGGAACAACCAATATTCATCACTAGGTACAGATAGTCTTAACCGTACAAATATCTTAAACGCAAATATTCATGTAATTCGTATCATAAAATAATTAAATGATCATGTTTTCTAAAGTTATTCAGACCCTAAACTATTAGGACGCGAATTCGCGTCGCCGGTACTCAAAGGGTTAAAACTTGGTCAACGAGCACGTTAGAAAAAAATTAAAAATATAAAGATCAAAATGAAGAAGATCGACAAGTTCGAATACAACTTTTAGACTCAGCTGGTAGTGAATCAAAAAAGAAACAACAGCAAAAACAAAAAGTACAAAAAAAAGATAATAAAATTCAATATCGACCACAATCAGCATCTGTAGCCATTGCAATTATCGATGAAGATGAAGAAGAAAAGGCAAAACGATTATCTCAAGATCCTCGTTTACTTTTTACTCTAATTGGACAACCAACAACTGACGATCCATTAACAAATGTTGTTGGTGTTTATGCTCCTTGGGTTACATTAAATAATTATAAATATAACGTTAAAGTTTTACCAGGTAGTTTTGGTAAGAAAGGCAAGAGTATAAAATTAAAGTTTTAGTTTTATTCGTAGTAAACAAAATTTTATTTAGATGTTCAAGCTGCATCATGAAGTAACACGTAATTTATCTAGTGGCAAAGTTAAATTTAAACAAAAAACATTCAAATTTTTATCTTAATCTGATTGTTCTATGATAGCCCTGTTTACGGATTATAATTTTCATTCAAATTAATCCTAACAGATTAATAAAATAGTTCTTCAAAAAAAAGTGAATCTTCCTCAGGGCCCATCTATTTGAAAATAAACAGGAGAGTATATATTATAAACGTCTACAAATTCGAATTTCACTCGATTGCAAAATGTGGTGCGAAGCCTTCGATTAATTATACAACGATCTACCGCTCGAGATATTTACAGTTCATAGCAACGAGCTTCTTTCGTGTTGCTCTTATCGAAAACTCGAATTATCTATGTTTCAATCAATCACGTGATCAAAGCATAAACCGAATAGAGCAGCAATTTTAGAGAATGCAGTGAATATATCGCTTAATTATCAGTATGATTCATTATCTATTATGAGCTGTTCAGGGTGTGGGTGTGAGTGGGTGTGGGTGTGGTGGATGTGTGATGTGGATGGGTGTGGGGTGTGGGGTGTGGGGTGTGGAGTGTGGGGTGTGGGGTGTGGGGTGTGGGGTGTGGGGTGTGGGGTGTGGGGTGTGGGTGTGAGTGAATCTAAGACTCACACCCACACCCGCAGCTTACATTTTAAATTTATAAGTTTGGTAGTGAGAGTTTCGCTTTGACCCCAATATATCTCATCTCCTTAACTGACAACACAAGTATCTCTGCTGGAAGTGATAGTATGTGTCAAATGCACTTTTTAAAATTGTTTCACAGAATTCCTAAAGAAAAAAACTTTTAAAGTTTAGGATATCCAATGCAATCTGTAGACAATTTTTTTTACAGAATCGAGTTTTGCGAAGCGTTTCTTCCTTGAAACTTTCACATTCATGATCAGATATTCGACCACGCTTCTTTGGAACACCATTTACGGCTAGTCACTCACATGCTCATGTTTACTTTCTCAAAAGATCATATATAGTCTACGATTCAGTCGATTTAGATTTAGCTGATTGTGATGAATCATTCAATTTATAGCAGAAAAATTCTCGATGAAAAATTTCAAACAAAACATTTTGTTATACAGAATCATTTCTGTCTCAAATTTTATGGTCTTTCTGATGAATCTACCATGTATTGCAATTCAATGTTTACTAAATCTTAGTGAAGTATTCTCAACAAGCATGCTAGATTTTTTACAACAATTGTCTAAAGCGCATAATCACTTAACCATTAATATCAGTGGCTAGTCGTTCGTCAGCACCTCTCAGGGTTGACATTCACTGCTGACCGCTTTCTTTGTGAAATCTATCTCTTGAACAAATTACTTTCTGATTTGTACAACATGCTCAAGTAACATTGTGCTTCTCTTCATAATATTTGTAGCTTATAAATAGCAGAATTCTCGACTGAAAATTGAAAATACTAGTGCACATGAGAAAGTCCATACGACGAAAACCAGATATAGAAGACAGTTTAAGGAGTGAAATTGAGGTCAGAGCGAAAGTTTGATTGATAGTTGAATGTCGAAAACGTAGAAGTCACGAAAAACTCGAAGGCTTAAAGATTGACTAGACAAATAATTTAGCGGACATACTACATGACCGAATCTACAGCACAAAAATCCGAAACTTGATGAAGGAAAAACTAAAATTAACATGATTAGTCGATAGTATAATTCAAAGTATACATAGCCATATTACATAGTTAATCTGATATTTCGAATATATACGCAACATGTGACTGCAGAAAAATATCCATACATGCATAAAAAAAGCACTTATTTGACTTTTCCTATTGCCTCTCCTCTAAATAACGGGAATATAGTATTTCAAAGATATTTGATGGCATTAAATATTTTGGAAGCGATTTACAAAGATTTTAAGTATGTATCTCTCAATACCAATCGCACTCACCCACCGATGATGCTGACGCGTGTTGATAATAATGATATAGTTATTGTCACGTTCTTGATTTTTTTCGCAAAAGAAAGGGTCTTTCATGAAAATAGCGACTTCCTATGAAATTTGTTTATAGGTAATGCAGATTGAGGAATCTGAATCTACAATTAGTTTCTTAGAGTTGTATACTTACAGTTTCGATTAAAGGAAGAAATTTTTGAAAAAGTTATGCTCTGCATTAAGTTTGGCCGTTCGTAGACGAAATTCGTTTACTTGATTCAGCAATCAAGTTTGAACTTTCCAAAAAACTAACAGCGTATTCGAACTACGTGCATCCGAAAATCTTTACCAAACCTTGATAAAAAAAAGTCTTTCTTTACTTAAAAGATCCTTTGTTTAACGGAAAAATTAGGGATATAATAGCACCAGTACAATAATATGAAATCCGATCAATACCAAATTCCATCGAATCCTAACAATTCACTACTGTATTGATGTTGAAATATGCCTCTATTTAAGATTCCAAAGGATTTTTAATGATTTCTATAGATTTGTAAAGATTTCCAGAGATTTCTAAAGATTTTTAAAGGTTTCAAAAGTTTTCTAAAGATTTCCAACGATTTCAAGGCTTAAAATCTGCTTTTCCTTCTTGACCCACACCTACACTAGGTATGCACCAGTTCCAGTCCTGACTGGAAGCCAGTTACTGGAACTGGCGCACACCTAACCCACACACCCACACCCAGTCACCTGCATCCACCCGAAATCACAGCCACACCACACCACACCGTAGTTTTGTAGAGCGTGAAGAAGTGCATTGATCTATGTTATTAGCTTTGGCATTTAGATTAAAATAGAAAAAAAATTATGAACATTACAGTTATTATCCGAAACACTGAAAACCTACGAAAGACTCATAGATCCCCAGGCAATGTAGTCTTGGAAAAAACTTTTTCTGATCAAGAATAGATAACACTAAATATACAGAAGGGTGTAGAATGTCAAGCTCTATCTTTCCATAATATTAACAATGAAAACTGAGAGGTGGTGGATTTACGATGAAATCCCGCGGTGTCCCTCGCATAAAATATTTTTCATGGGGTGAAAAATAATACTTAACAATAATATTTGGTAACTTTATCTGTGGGAAAAAAGAGTGTCTGAATCATTTGCAGCTTATATAAAAACAGTCATCGATTCGATGAATGTACCCACTCACACCCACATCCACCCACACCCACACCCTCACCCACACCCACCCACATCACACAGCCACACCCGCCCCTTTTTTCGATATTTTTTAAGCACACCATCAAATATATATGTAAAAGAATGTTTTTTATTTCAATTTTGATTTTGAAAGAAAAAAAATTGCAATCTGATAAAAGATGAAAAGAATTTTTAGTATTCATATAAATGCTTGCAAAGTTTGCTATATGAAAAAGAATTAATATTTTCTTTTAGTTTAAACGAAGGATTCAGATAAGAAATCATGTCTTTTAACGAGTGTAACCGATAAAGAGGAGAAGGTTTTTCTTTCTTTCTTTTATTGACAATGTTTAATATTTTTTTTTTCTCTTCATAAATAATCATGTCAACATAAAAAAAAATACGTCGGTGCAAAGATTGTCGTTGTTGGCCAAAATTCAATCTTACTCTCTTTGTCATTTCAGTGGCGATAGGTGACAAATTTCAATAATTGTGTAGCTATTGAGATCCGTAGTTGAAAATTTTTCAAAAAATTTCATCGTCGCTAGTAACTCAACCAATCAACTTACACCATTAATTTCAACTGGAATTTATTTTTGTAAGTTTATTAACTATTATGTTTCAGTCAAGAGTTTTGATAGTTCTTTTTAAAGATTTTCTTCTTATTCATCGATAAATAACAAGAGAAATTTAGATTTTTGTTTATTCAAATAAACATTCATGTAAGAGTTATAAAACTGATATTCGATTATCTAAGTATTTAATTGAATTACAACACAGTTGCTAAACAAAAGAGATGACATGGCTAGTTCGTCAAACGAAAATTACCCAGAATATTGACATAGTTATTGTCAACATAATGAAATGATTAAAATTGACTTCAAGAACACGATTAAAATTCTAATTCTTAAATGTCTGAGAAAAATAGGAGCAATTCAGGACAAAATATGTGAACTCCATATTTCACTGTGTACAAGCGGATTTCTACGTATTGTATACTAAGAAATACGATAATCTACAGTCGTTTTCAATGTTCAACGTCTTAGCTACCAAGCAATATCTTTTTGAATTTTAAAGAAAAAGGACGGAGGCGCATAAGCTATAAAAAATGGACCACTAGGAATTTATTGATATTTCATTGATAATTCTTTCTAGAAAAGTGAGACAAGTTTTATTAAAGCAGATCTAAGTAAAACTATGCATGTTGAGCCTTATTTTCAAACGAAAATATTGTAAAATATCATATAGATCTTTTTGGGATCTTTGATGTGTTCTAAGTGCAATCATAGTAGTTCAATATTTGATCAAAATAGATAAACTTTTGAAAATATTGAAAGCTCAATTTATCTTCATTAGTAAGAGCATTTAATTCTGCATCATTTCATATAAAGAGTTTTATTTTTTTACGAATTATCGAGGCCATCAATAACACCACTCTTCTGTTAGGTATCGCATTGAGCATGATTTTATTGCATACTATCTAACATAATTTTGATCCGTTTGAATTTTTTTTCATGCGAACCGATTTCATTTATATATCGTTCAATAGAGCGAAGCAACGGCTACAAACTGGTATATAATTCATTTAGTTTCGAGTTGGTCTCAATATAAAAAATACTCGAAAACTATTTCTGATATACAAAAAATTCACTATACTTTGTGCACGATGAAGCAGATAATAAAAATTCATCCAAGTTTGATATAATTATCATGAAAAAATACTATAATAGAATACTAAGACAAACACACACCCTCATTATAAACCGAATATGTTAGATAGAATTCGATTCAGTTTTGATCTCTAGTCGAAGTGATTGTGAAAAATTTTTTTTCCAGACTCATGTCAGTAAAAATAGTCAAGTATTTTTACTCTGATATAAT